AAAAAAAAAAAAAAAAAAGAAAGGCTTTGAGAAACACTGTTCTAGTTGCTCAGGTCAAAAGCCTTGGTGTCAGACTTGTTTCTCCCATATTCCTCTTAAATCCATGAGCATGCTTTTAGGCCCTTTCTTCAACATATATCCAAGATCTGACATCACTTCTCATTATCTTTTTTTTTTTTTTAAGATTTTATTGGGGAGTTGGGGGAGGGGAACAGCGTTGGGGAATTGGGGGGATGGGAACACACAAGTTGCTGTCGTTTTGCTCTTCAGTCTAGTTGTGGAGGACGTTGCTTCACTGGCCCAAGTTGGTATTATCATTGCGCTCTTCCCGGATGAGGCAGATCAAATGCCGGCCACTGGACGGCCGCTCACGCCAGCTGCCAGCCACTCATGGTAGCTTTATGGCAGCCCACTGCAGCTCCACTGCAGCCTATGCGGTCACCGGCGACTCACGGCAGCCCAGCTCCAGGTCGAGATGTTGTTGACCATCTTAGCTGTAGAGGGCAGTGTTACTGGCCCTCAAGTGGGATCCAAACCGGGGCCCTGCTGCTCAGAGCTGGTGTCCCAAGCCAACTCTTAATCAACGCGCCACTTGGCCAGCCCTCATTATCTTTTTTGTTAGCCCTCTGGTACAGACCACCATCATTTCCTTGTCTGCATTATTCCAACAGCTTCCTTCACTGGCGGCTCTGAAGTCTATTTTCATCAAAGCAACTAATGTGATCATTTGAAAAGATCGCCATGTAACTTCTCTGCTTGAAAGGACTCCCCATCTCATTTAAAAGCCGACCTCCTTACAGTGGCCTTGCCTGCCAGGCTTCATGTGAACTCTCTCCCTTCACTTCTCAGACCTCATACTCTACCACTTGTCCCCGCTTTTACTCTTCTCCAGCCTCATTGGCCGACTTGTTCTTCCTCTACTATGTCAAGAGATTCTGTTTCAAGAGCCTCTGCATTTGCTGTTCCTTCTGCCAGAATGTTCTCCCCCTCCCTCCCATATCTGCTTGGTTACCTTGTTCTCGATATTCAGATTGACAAGGAGAAAATTCTGAGAAGTCCTAAATTAAATTACAGCAGGCCAGAGGGTGGAAGGAAGAGACAAAAAAGGGGTTAGTCAGTTAATAACTGCAGTGCAAAACCAACAAAAGACTGCTTACACTGCTTATTTTAGAATTATTAAATGAACTTCCAGTTGGCCATTTCCAGATTATCTAAAAAGAGAGAATTGCTAGGCTACTGCTGAACTCCAGGAGCCTCCGCTTCTTATTTATACATGTCGTTTATGGACTCTCCTGGGCCTATCCCCTTAGTCTATAGTTAATGTAAATTCTTTCAGAAAGGCTTACAAATTTCTCCTCCCTACTTGATGTATAAAAATGCCTGTAAAACTTGGGAATTTGGACATGTTGTCTTTCCTACCTAGCCATGTTGCTGGTCGTTTAGACAGCATGTCCCAAGACCAGTTTTCTTTTTCTTTTTTTGCCAGCAATGGCCTAATAAACTCTTTCTTTTAAAAAGATTTTCAGCCATGGTAGTTTAAAATTTTTTTGTTTAACAAGATAAAAGTGTGACTTCCTTCCAAAAGCCTTCCTGATTCACTAAACCACCATTCCCATGCCCATATAGAATCACCCACACAATACAGTCTATCTCCCTTACCCTGCTTCATACTTCTTACCAGAACTTATTACTCCCTGACATATATTTGATTATGGCCTCCTGACACTAAGCCCTAGAGGGAAAAATTTTTTGTCCATTTTGCTGTTACTCTTTTCAACATGTAGAACAGTGAGTACTTGGTTCAAAACGTTCAACAACTTTTTGTTGAATTAATAAATACTAGATATAAGCTTGACAAAACGGATTCTTTGCCTCAAGAAAACTGAGTCTACTGGGGTGACGTAAAAGAATTAAAATATAATAATTGCATGTGTTCAGTGGGACACAGAAGCCTCCAAATCTACCCAGAGGATTTACATACACAGATGTGATAGAATGATGCTAATCAACGTTAGATACCTAAGGCTCTTGGAAATTATAATGTATTATGCAATTTTGAGATTGTGCGAAGGTGAGACCATATCTTTTATCCTTTACTCGTCTCCAAAACTTTACGGGGAAATTTTCGTTTCACTTAACTTACTTCCTCTTCATATAATCCAAATAGTCAAGTGGTTGTGAATGGTATGGTCCAAGGGGAGTGTAAAATATTGTCTGGTCTTGGAGTCTGCGTAGTGAATGGCTCGCTAAAGCTGGCGCATGCGCACCTGTCAGAGGCAGTGCAAGATGGCTGCCAGCCACTTGGTTGTGCTTCGGGGCCCCGAGGAATCGGCGGCGGCGGCTCCAGAAAGTAACAGTGGCCGCTGAGCGGTGGGAGTTTCCCGGCCTTGTTATGTGAGCTGGATAGCCCCAAGTGGGAGACCTCGCTGGGAAGCAAAAGGCGGGGCGGCGGTGTAACCCCTCCCCCAACCTCTCCTTAGTTTGACCAGTTCCCTCGCCCTCCCCTCCCCTCCCCGTTTTTCCTCCCAGTCCGCTACACGCTGATGTGCTGCGCAGGCGCACAAATAATTGAAGCGCTTCCTTGGCCCTGAGGGCTTGCGCGCTGCTGCGCGCGCTTCTGGTTCTTCTCCCTTGATTGGTCAGATTGCCCCGCCATGACACCTCCCTCTGCTCTCTAGGTTGAGAAGGAAGCGGGGGGCGGGGCCAAGCGGCGCGTGCGCGATACTGTTGCTGTCCCTTTGCTGCTATTGCGTTGCAAAAAAAAAAAAAAATTCTGACTAGGTAGCCTTGGGCCTTTTCTGTGCTAGAGGATCTAAAGGAGAGAAAAAGATTTCTGCAACCGAAGGGGCAGTCGGGTAGTATTAAATTTAAGATATTAACGCCCGCCCTAACAGGAGTGTGGGGATAGGAGTGGGGAAGGGCCTTCGCGTAGAGAGCCCAAGAGTATAAAACCATTAGTTTGGGGGCCAGGCGTTTTGAAAGGCTTTGCAAGGACCTGTTTTCTGCGTAATTCTTCCCTGATTACTGACTGGTTTAAACACAACCCCTTGAACAATTCTGATAAACCTTCGAAACCCGCAGCCCCTCCTAGTAGCGTGTAGGAGCCGCCAGCGTGCCCAGCAGCTGGCCTGCCGATCCTACCTCCAGAAGAGCCTAGCGCGTGCACCACCCCCACCCCCTGGCCTCCTTCCCCACCTACGGCTTTCACGCACTCGCAGTGATTGTTTTGCCCGCTCCCGCCGCCGCCACCGCCGCGCCGCCGCCGCCGCCGCCGCCGCCGCCGCCGCCAGAGGAGCAGCAGCGCTTGTGCAAACCGGGAAGATGGCGGCCGGCGGCGGCGGAGGCAGCAGTAAGGCCTCCTCCTCGTCGGCCTCTTCGGCAGGGGCTCTGGAGTCCTCGTTGGATCGAAAATTCCAGTCGGTAACCAACACCATGGAATCTATTCAAGGCCTGTCGTCTTGGTGTATCGAGAACAAGAAACACCACACTACTATCGTCTACCATTGGATGAAGTGGCTCCGGAGATGTGAGTGTTGGGGGTGCCTAGAGGAAGGGAAGATCGGGGAGATGGAAGGAAATGCTGCCCGAATCGCTTGGGGTTTTCCCATGGAGCCACGGCATTCGGTTGGGGTTGTTCACAGTAAAGCTTCGGCCCGAGTGTTCCCAAACCCAGACTCCTCCATTCCTAGCCAGGGTTTTCCTGAATTGCAGGAAGCTTAGCATTTCTTGGATATTTAGCCACTGACTTGGCGTGACCTTGGGCCGATGGCCCCAGATCTATAGAGATCTACACATTATATCTTTTCAGAGCCTTGTAAGGTACCGTTGACTTGACTGAACCTTCACGGAAATTGTCGCGTCCGTTTGTTTCTTCTATAGGCCGTGAGGTGTTAATGATTTCTGGTTTTCTTGATGCTAGACAAGCTCTGGTCTAAGCACCACTAGTAAATCCACCTATTTCGCTGGAATATGTTGGACCACTCTGTTTTCTACTGACCTAAAACTTGGGATGTGTAATAAGAAGGGTTTACCTGGATGAATGTTAAATAACGTGAGCTCCACGTAGAGCTGAGACAACCACCTGGGAGGTTTCCTGTACCTGTGTTTGCTGCAATGAAATAAATACAGGCTTCTTGAGACTGACCGGAAACTACTGTATATAGTCAGTATTATCAACAATACTTTAAAATGAAAAAACATATCTGACTTTTTAATCACTTGAAATACCTTTTTAAGGAATTGAGTTTGATTTCATAGGTAATAATCAAAACAGGAAATCAAGAAATTAGCTTTTTGATTGTATAGTACTCCCCCCCCCCCCAACCCGTTATTACGTTTTGCCTTCATGGGGCAGTTTTCCACTTTGCTGCTTTACTACAGAAAAGAGGTCTAGTAACTGTCAGGAAGCATGGATTGTGTGCCAACGATCTCAAATCTTTTAGGAGGAAGTGTGGAGAAGTCACTATTGCTTCTTGCTGAAAAGAGAGTGGGTTAACTCTCTTCTCAGGGTTTTTTGAATTTTAGGTCTTTAGTTGCTTCTGTATTTGAATTTTAGGTCTTCTCTTGCTTCCTGACCATGGCTTGTCATCAGTGATACCCATCATCCAGTGACTCTTCTACTTCTGCCATTGCCTCTGTAGTGCTTTGATTTGTGTTTACCTTTTAGGGATCAGATGGATAAAACTTGCAAAATCATAGGCCCCAAGCTTTGAACCATTTGTACACATAAAGTTGTTGTTCGGAGAGATGTTGTGTGGCTCTTTGAATAATAAGTGCTGAAATGATTGTAGAACTGAGACGGGATTACTTGTATTTACCAATAGCAGATCAAAATTACTTTCTTTCCAAGAGGTAAAATTAGAATATATAAAATAAAATATGATAACAGTCATCAAAGACCCCTCGATTGTCATTTACAGTATATCTCATTATACCTGAAAATAACCCTCAGAAGTAGATTTTTTTTTTTAAGTGGGGAACAGTGTGTTTTTCCAGACCCATCAGCTTCAAGTCAAGTAGTTGTTTCAATCTAGTTGTGGAGGGTGCATCTCTGTGGCCCATGTGGGGATCGAACTGGCAACTTTGGTGTTACGATCACTGAGCACCAACCAACTGAACTAACCAGCTGCCCCAGAAGTAGATTTTTATATCATTGATTTACAGATGGGGAAACTAGGGTTCAGAAATGCTAATTAAGTTGCTTAAGGGTACACAGTAAAGTGCTGGAGTTAGGATTTTACTTCATATCAGATGACAGTGTCCACATTTAACTTTGTAAAATAATGGTCTCAAGATTACTCTTTAATGTACTTGGTACACCAGTGGGAGCAAGCAGTGTTCATGTGAGCCTGAAGACATATTTTCTTTAAACATATTCTCCTTCCTGTTTTAAACTATTTTTACTAAATTATGCCAGCATTTAACATTTTCTACCTTTGGGCTCCGGTGCTTTAACTATATGGTTACATCATTTGCAAGAATGAGTTGGTCCTCATCCCTGCCTTGTGGGATTACAAATGACAATTACAATATTTTTTTCTAGTCAGCAGTAATGAGATATATTAGAGCCAGAATTTTTCTGTCTCTGCTGTTGTTGATATGCCTGAGTTTATTTCCCTTGTTCTCTTAAGAGGGCAAAAAAATGATTGGTCTAGAAAGAAAATACTTCACTTGAAGTGCCTTATATATAGTTTAAATGCTTTTGTCTTCGTGAAAACCTGATTTTTTTTCCCCCCTAGTGGTATTCAACGTAGCTTTCTAAGATGATTAAGGATAATTTGTAGTCGATTTGTAGTTACAGTTGACCCTTGAACAATGCAGGGTTTTGGAGTGTCATTCCCTGAGCAGTCAGAAATCTGTGTATAACTTTTGACTCCCCCCAATCTTAACTACATATAGCCTACTGTTGACTGGAAGCCTTACCAGTAACATAAACAGTTGATTATCAACACATATTTTGTATGTTACATGTATTATGTACTGTATTCTTACAATAAGGTAAGCTAGAGAAAAGAAAATGTCATTAAGAAAAATAGGGAACAGAAAGTACAATATTATACATATTTATTAAAAAATCTGTGTACAATAATTTCATATTTCTTCACAGAATTATTTTAGTTTGAGTTTGGTTTCTAAGTCAGCTTTAGGCAAATTTGTGAAGTAGGTGTTTTTGGCATTCCCACCTTTCTGTCCATTTTCCACTTTTTCTGCTCTCTTTTTTTTTCCGGGCATGCATTATGTGGTAATTTTTATTTAGACCTCTGTGAATTTAAGTAACTACGTTACCTCTTCCAGAGATATTTTCATTTTGTCCTTTATTTCAAAATGTGAACTTTTGTTCACTTTAAAGGAAATAATTTAGAGAAGGCGAGATATATTCCATGGATGGGTCCTACTGATTTTATTTAGGCTTTTAATTTGTTTGAAGCATTCATTACCATCATTTTTTAAGTGATTTTTCTGTAGCATAAACAGATGTCATCCCTGTGCTTTAAAATCCTCCAGTGATATCCCGCCCCCATTGCAGCGGGGTTAAGATCTAAAGTTCTCTTATTGTGATCAACAAGTTCCTACACTATCTATCTGCCCTGCCTACTACCTCTCAAACTTCTTCTAATCCCATCTTTTCATCATTTAGGTCCAACCTCAAATATTAACTCCTCAGAAAAGCCTTCCGTAATGACCTTATTTCAGGTGGTCTCTTCAGTGGCTTTCTATTACATCACTTTATTTTCACTATGAACTTACCTTATTTATTCACATATTTATTGTCTCTCTGCTCCCACTAGATGTCTTCTTTGCTGCCATATCCTCAAGCAGCTAGAACAGTGTTTAGCGTAGAGTAAGCAATCAGTAAATATTTGCTAACATAATTTTATGAAAAAGTTAATCAAGAACTTGAATTGTTTTAATTTGTTTATCAGAAAGAACATTTATAATTTAGTGGAAGAAATCATAGCTATGGTTGTCGGCAGGTTGAAGATATGGCTCTTATATGGACTTGATGTGTAATTTGACCAGATTATCATTTCTATACCTTGTTTGTCGCTCCCATTTTAATGTAAAATGGGAATCAATATGAAAAAGTAGAAAAATACTTACTTTACATTTAGACCTAGGTTCAGATCATAATTCCATCACTTCATACCTGGGTGACTCTATGCAAAGTACTTAAATTGTGAGCCTCAATTTCTGATCTGTAAGTAGAGATAATGAACTCTCAGGATTGTTGTCTAGGTTTAAGAAGACAATGCATGAATTTTAGCATATGTCCAGGCGTAAGGAAAACATTCAGATTGTTTATTATGTTGATGATCATGATGCAGAAAAAGATATTCTTAAGATCCTGAGTATTCAGAATAATTATGGCAGAACTTTGTTTTGGATATAGTGCTGGAAAGTATATTCCCAGTCAGGGGCCGATGAATTGGACCTGCCTCTGTAGTGAATTAGCGAGTGCTCTGAAGAACTAGTAGGACAAAATGGAAAGTACTGTGTTTATGATAGCTCTATGTTGTCTTGTTTCTAACCATTTAATAATTGGTCTGTTTTATAGAACGTGGTATGAGAACTTAAGTGAATTTTTGAAGATAAGGGGGATATAGGAAAGTTGAATCATTTGTACAGCAGACAATCTGTTAAGATTTCCGTTGAGTTGTTTTTGGTACAAACTAAATAGGTACAAGAGTCAGAAAGTATGATACCCCCCTTCTACTGATCACCCCACTTTAGTAGTTATCCATTTAACGGTCAGTCTTTTTTCTTTTATCCCCATTCCTTTCCCCCTCCCTCACTTGAAGCAAATCTCAGTACAATCTGGCATTTTTTCTATAAGAAAGACTTATATAAACATGGACTGGCGAAAAGAAATCTCTTCATACAGAATTAATTTGTTGCAGAGAATTTGCAAAGTGTGGTTACCATTTTTGATCTATGGCAGTGGTTTCTCAGTATGGGTCTCAGGATCCTTAGCTGGACCGTGACGATGGTGTTAAACAAAAAATTTTAACTTTTATTGCTGAGTCTTTTGAAAGGAAAGGGTTTATTTGGTCATTGCTAGCCAAGAAGAAGACCAGTCTTGGTCATGGAGTCTAAACCACCAGCAGCTTCGCTAGGTAGGGAGACAACCCCATGGTCTCTGGGGTTTGCAAGTGTTTTATCCATCAAGTAATGGGAAGGGGGAAGAAAGGTGTAAGCTGTCTGAAAGAATTTATATTCCATTAGCTATAGGCAAAGGGGTGGGAAGAAGTGAAGGGGGGCCAGTCCGGGATAGGCTCAGAGTCCACAAGAAGCAGTGTCCCCTCCTGTGGATTGGCTGTGGGCAGCAGACCGGAAAGCCCACATGTAAACAAGAAGCAGAGGTTCCTGGAGTTCGGTGGTGCCTGGCTGGAATAATCTACGAAAATAGCTACCTGGAAATTAATCCGAAATTCCAACAAACAGAAGGAATGTGAGTAGGCTTTTGTTTTTTGGCTTGCAGCCATGAACAGGCTAACAGCTCTGTCTCTTTCTCTCATTCTCTGGCCT